AAGAAGAAGAAGAAGAAGAAGAAGAAGACGAAGAAGAGGATCGCCGTGACCGAATGATCCTCGACACCGGTCGTATTTATACTCCTGTTTGCCTCCTGATTCGCCACGGACACGACCCTTAAAGTCCTGGTGTCCGGTCAAAACACGCATTCGTTCTCTCCCCCCACACATCTCCCTGTATCACGCTGTTCCCAACGACTCTCTGGCGTTCCGTTTTACCTGGCGCGAACGCCTTTTTTCCGCGCGCATCCGCGTGAAATCGCGTAAATCCCCGGGCCCCGGACGCGCCTGCAAGGAAAATCGCGTTAAGCGGAACTTTCAGGGAAAACTCGACTGGGGGGGGGGGGAGAAAAAAGGACCAGGACCGGTTGACCGCGTTACGACGACGGATGAAAAGAAGGGAAAGGGGGAGGGTGGTTGCGCTCGTTGTGTTTGCGTTTCACGGATGGCAGGCGAAGTCGAGGTAGGGATCAGTCTCGCGCGAGAGGGTGCCTTTTAACGCGAGATGGGACCGCTGGATTTTCAGAGTCATTGCTTTCTCATAGTTTCGATCAGAATTTCTGAAAGGCAGGGGAAACGGATTGCCTCGTGATTGTGTGCTGGTTGGCATCGGGGAAATTTTTCCTCGATGATCGATAGACCACGGATGCTTGTGCAGTTTTTAATCAATTTTTCTTTTTTTTTTTTGAAGATTTTAGGTTAGGTGTAAAGAGAAGCAGGTTTCAAGGGGAAAGCTTCGATCTTCGAATTCACGTTGCGAAAAAAAAATTATTCACTGTTTCCGAGAGAGGAAAGCGTATAAAAAAACATTTTTTGTAAGAAGTAAATACAGGACTTCACCCGTTTGAAGTGAGCCCAGATTCTTTCATATCACGACGTTTATGTGTCAGTTTAAATGTCGTCAGTTTTTCGAAAAATTGGAAATTTAATCTGCGTAGGATCGCGCATAGATATTATCCTGTATTATCCTGCGACTAACGTGAAGAATGTGTCTTGTTACAGAGGTGCAAGGAGAAGCTGAACACCCTGGCCATCTCTGTAATGAACCAATGGCCTGGTGTGAAGCTAAGGGTGACAGAGGGCTGGGATGAGGAAGGAAAACACGCGACGGATTCGCTGCATTACGAGGGACGTGCCGTCGACGTGACGACGAGCGATCGGGATCGCTCGAAATACGGGATGCTGGCGAGACTCGCCGTCGAAGCTGGTTTCGACTGGGTCTACTACGAGTCCAGGTCACACATTCACTGTTCTGTCAAATCTGGTCAGTATATCATTCCTCATTTTCTGCAGTTAAGCTGTATCATTTCTTAATTGGAGAAAAAAAAAAAAATATTCGAAAATGTTATCTGTTTTACCGACTCATATAGATCTTCGCGGTATTGCATAAAATGATCCCAAAAAAAAAAAAAAACGATTCTATAAAGCGACAGTGAAATATATGTTGTGTGCTAGCAGATTATATTCTTATTTGTTATACATATTTAACAATCTGATTTAATATATTTAGTTGTAGTAAAAAGTTTATGCAAAAATCCAGAAGTAGATCGAAGTTGCAGTTGAATAAAAATCACAGGAATTCTAATCGTCATTTATAATATGGCTATTCCATACTTCGACGCTTTGAAATTTTAATCACGCGACAATACGAACCTGGAGAGTCTCTCGACCGAAATTTCTCACAATCGACGAACACCTCCGGCAGAAAAGAGAAGTTGATGAGAAGTCGGGGGTGCGGGCGCGTTTCGTTGATCGAAGTTCGATCTCGAGTTTCAAAATAAATGTCAATAAATCTAGGCAAGCCTGTCGGCTCGAATTAAATTCCAACGTAACAGCCGCCGCGAAATCGATATACGAGCCGAAAGAACGATATTCGAGAGACAACCAAGGAAACCGGTCAGTTAAGAGAAGAAAAGGATATCGGTCTGAGGACGCGAGCCACGCGTGTCACGATTTCGACGCCTTTGCTCCGATCGAACGATCGATTTTTCTTTTCCCCCAGACAGACTTTTGTCTCGAGACAATTTCTATGTGATGCCATAGATATTCCTTTTTTGATTGATTTCCTGGTCCTGGTGTGATTGAGCTTTCAGTCGATCGATCGAAAGAAAAAGAAGTGACAGAAGCGAGAATCGTGGATGAAATTGAATTTTAATCTGTTAACTATTCCTCAACCAGAGTTTTTCTGTAATAATGAAATAAAAAAAAAAATTATTGTCAATTGTTATAAATTTTATTGATACAAATAGATTTCATTATCTGATCTGATTGAGTTTTGAAACAAGAGAAATTGAAAAGGAAATGAAGCAAGTAATTATTAATTAGCTATAATATTATAATATTATAACGAGAACAACTTAATTCTTATTAAATTGATTTCAGTCTTTACTAATTGCTGGCTTTTAAGAGCTGACACCTGATAAATTCAATTTTCGAAACAATTCTCTACGAAATGATTCAGATATTTCTCTCTTCCGATGTGAATGAATTTTTCGATCCATTCGAGAGAAAAAAGGAGCAGAGGCAATGGAAGAAAAAGTTTTTTAATTTGATGAAATTTCTGGGTGAAGTTAAATTTCCTAAATTAAAAAGCTTCCTCTTTACTCATCGAAAATTGTTAGCCGGAATTTTTTACAATTATAACAGTTACTTATTAATTTATATTATAATATATACAATTGATGATTTTCTACAATTATTAATTATAATCATAAGAATTACAAAAGCAATTTCATTTTATTCTTCATTCGTATGAATAGACAGATTCTATCTCGGGACAATTTTCGATATTTCTCTTGCTAGATTTTTCTAGTCCGATATCGAGCTTTTAGTGTTTCTTAACTTTGGAAAAATTATGAACAACCATGTCATTTTTCAATCAGATATCTTCCATAATTATGTGATTAAAAAGATAATTTAATTCCACGATTAGTTAGATCAATTCCACTTCTCATCAATATAAATTCTGATATAATTGTTTTTAAAACAATTTTCTAACAGATTCTCTCTCGAAACGATTTTCTATTTTTCCTGGTAGATTTTCCAGTCCGACGCGATCGAGTTTTTCGATTGAGGTCGAAAGGAAAAGAAAGAAAATATAACGTCGTATAAAGAAAATATAAAAATATGGAACTGTGTGTATAAGAGAATGTAAAAGTATTAAAAATATAGAAGAAAGATATACAATACTGTGTGGTACAATGAAATTTGTACAATGTGCATATTGCGAATGTAGAGAAATAAATCGTGAAACGTTTGACAGATTTATTCGCACGTTTTCATCTTGTCATTTCGAGTTCTTTGTTTTTGACAGAAAAATTTATACAAAACGTTCGACTCTGCACGTTTAAATATTTTTACATTCCACTAAAAACAGCTTAGCAATTGCGAGTAAAATTTAAAAGTAAATTTAGAAATAAAAATTGTACGCATTATTAATTACTTCTAAATTACTGCATAAAATGCAATTCGAACGAACTATAATAATCTCTTCAATTTAATCTCGACGTGCACAGTCAACAAATGTTGATAAAAAGAAATGAATAAATATAATAATTGAGTGGCTAAAAGTTCTGCAAAATATCACTTCAAATATATCTATACGTCGTTGAAATTTTGTGTTAGAAATCAATATGAAACTTGAAGATGCAGAAAATTAATAGCAGAAAAATATTCGTCAAACTCTTTCAATTATTACGGTAACGTGCATGAATTTTTTCCACGATCTATTTATCTGATTATAAATTTCTATAATTAATTCTAGAAATTAAGACGGTAAATTTACTATACAAATTTATTTTCTAATCAAAAATTAAGGTAGTAAAATAGTTCTGAACAAATACTACTAAAAAAAAATTTGATAATATATGGTTTTGCTGATACTCGGCTTTGTTGCCGCATCACATCTCACTCAATATCAGCTGTGCTTGCGATTTTCACGTTAATCAACTTGTCCAATCTCTTCGCGACAATTCACGCAATCACTATTCTGCTTCATCTTCCCCATAGTCACCCCTAAACTTCCTTCCAATCAGTCGACTCGTTTCTTCAATGATCTATCAACTAATCCTACGAACGATCTTGTATCCTTTCCCAATAAATATATTTTCTACTTTGCTCTATCACTACATACAAGATATTTCGAAGTTTAGCGCCAGTACTGAATATTTTCCCATAAATAGGAATGTGACTTAGGAGATCTTTTGTTTACTGGTTTTCTTTGATTATTTCAATTATTCGTTAATTTTACGATTATTCGGATCACTCGGTAATTATAATCATTAGACTGTGGATCTTTATGCGTTTAAAGAAAAAATTTTACGATTATTCGGATCACTCGGTAATTATAATCATTAGACTGTGGATCTTTATGCGTTTAAAGAAAAAATTTTTAAATTTGTAAAATTCCACAGAATGCATATAACATTCGAAAGGATGCATAATGTATCTAAAGTATATTTTGCTCTGTATAATATTTAGATCTAATCGTTTAGAATAATAATCGTAGAATATTAATAATTTAGAATTTAAAGCAATTTCCTGCCGAGATTCCTACTTTTTTTTTTTTTTTTTTAATTATATTCCACCGAGTTCGGATTTTAATTCTCTTCAACTAGCGATGAAAATTTTAATTAATCGCGGGACCCTGATTCCGCGCGTTAGCCGCGATTGTCGATCATCGATCGGCCCAATTCTGTAAAATTAACGAAACGTCAGCGTGAACGGCGTGACGATGATTTTTCCTCTGCGAAACGTCGGAATTCTTTCATGATTCGAGGCCTCGAACCGGAAGGGATCCGACCCGGCTTGATCAGGTAATCGGATCCGTGGACTGCGGTGATCGCGCCGACGTCGATCAGACGAATCGAACACGGCTGAAAACGCCTCACATGAAACAAGCTAACCGTGAGAAATTCGTGACAATCCACGCTTGTCGACAAGCCGGTTGCGCCTTCTAACAGCGATCGTTCAACGTGAATAATCGCGATTTCCCTCGGGAGGACGACCCCCAGCGCCCTGCTTGACTCGTCGTCAGACACGTCTCATTTGAATTTAAATTTCTTCCTGCGACGACGTGACCTCTCCTTCGCCATCACCATTATTGTTTCAGACTGTCAGGAATTCCCTTCATGCGATGCAGAAGTGGGAACAGGGAATATTTTGGGAGATAGAATTACACTTGACAAAAGTAGCGAGTAATATAAAACGATTTAAGGATAAAAATTTAAATATAGGATTTAGTAACCATACGAGTTTAATTATAATTATAATGTTATACCTGTTGTTTATATTATTACAATCGAACGTAGTTCCTCGCCGGCAATCCGTGGTAAATTAAATTAATAAAGTAGTTAATTAATTATGATGTAATTTCTATTTGAGCCCAATATGTGTAATTTTAATTGCAATATGATCATAATTATTCGTAATATCATATGTTAGTATAGTTTTAGTACAATTATAATATTACAATACGTTTCGATTACATTTATTTATATTGAATGTGATTCCTCATCGCGCGCAACGTATAAAAA